CACCATCATAGCTCATAGCAACCTTGAACTCCTGGGCTCGAGCCATCCTCCTAAGGATGACAACCTAGCACTGACCAATTGTGTTCATTGCTTAAATCATGGAGCAAGAGCTTTTGAAGACATTGTATTGTGACAAGACATGAAGATGCTCAGAGCACATACATGAAATGTTATTTGTTTTACTTGTGATTTTTAGCATTCCAGAGTCTGTATTTGAGAACAAAGGATTCTTATAAAGCATTGTTGTTTATTAAAACATTTAAAATACAAGCAAACAATGGGAAAATCCTCTAAGTCATATATTCTATAGTTAGCCCCTTTTTGCTATGATAGAAAGCATATAGGTACTGATTCAATGTTTATAATAAGAGCTTTATAATATAATGTGAAAAAATGAGTGTACTCAGATAAAGAAGATAACTGTGCATTCAAGAAATTTGTATCATCCCTTTTTCTATGTTTTCTTCCCCAGAGTATTAATAAAAGCTTAGGTGAATTTTTAGAATGTAGATTTTTTTCACATTGTTACTGTCATCTTTATTTAGCAGTGATATTTCAAACTATTTTGAGATTTTTAGTATACATATGGGGGATATGAAGGAACAAACAACAATGGTATTTTGTCTGTTTCTTCTCTGAAAAATTCAACAGGTTGCTAGTGAAAGGGCTGTTTAGCTGTAATAACATTTTACTATGGAGTATTATCAGTTTATACTGTGTGAGGTGTTCATTTCTGTCACAGTGAGGGAACATGCATCCTTGCTGTGTTCTCAATTTAACTTAAATCTCATGATTTCCTGTTTTGAACAAATATCTACTTAATTCCTGGATTCTGCTCCCCACCCACTGGCAGCCCCTGTGCAGCTGCCGTGATTACTAATCCAACCAGCAACGGTCAAGGGAAGGTATTAAGTGAAATTTTGACTTAAGAAGGGCTAAACTACTTACAGTGCAATAGCATTTCGCCATAACATGTAAAACATGTAGAGAAATAAATAAATAAATAAATTCAGAGAACAAGATCACTCTCTATTCAAATAACACAGTTTGGTTTTATTGCTTTAAAGCATAGGCACAAAAATCAGCCTTTGGGGAAAACTTGGATTTCAACTTACTATTCCCAAACGGGTTGATATAAGAGAATGTGTAATGTGCAGTTACGTATAGTTGTGTACCTGAAATGTGTAGGAATCTCAAGAACTTTTTGGATGTTTCTTCCTGTGATGGCGGAAAGACTGGTAAAATTATATAACAATTCTGTGTGAGTCCTTAGCATAGATCCTTTTGTCTTTTTTCCTTTTTTTTTTTTTTTTTTTTTGGAATACATGAAGAAACTGATAGAATCAAAGGTAGCATGCTTACTCTGTGAGGACACAGTATATATAGGAATGTCTTATGCTAGTGAGTCCATCACATGCTGGTTCTAATTTTTGTTTGTTTGTTTGTTTGTTTCCTGAGATGGAGCCTCACTCTGTCACCCAGGCTGGAGAGCAGTGATACAATCTCGGCTCACTGCCACCTCTGCCTCCTGGGTTCAAGCGATTCTCCTGCCTTGGCCTCCTGAGTAACTAGGACTACAGGCAGCCACCACCATGCCCGGTTAATTTTTTTTTTTTTTTTAAAGTAGAGATGGGGTTTCTCCATGTTACCCAGGCTGGTCTTGAACTCCTGACCTCAAGTGATCCACCTGCCGCAGACTCCCAAAGTTCTGAGATTCAGGTGTAATCTTGTTCTTAAAAACAAGTAAGAAGATTACAGCCTCCTGTTCTTAAGAACAAGTGAGAATACTCTGTATCATGAAGTCAGCCCACTGCATTAAACATGTTTATATTTGCTTCGAAAACTGCTTATGACAAATTCAGTGTCATTTTTGGGTTGCAGTCTGGTGTCTGTAGGGTTTGCCTTGAAGTTTCATGTGAAATAACATTTTTAAAAATGGTTTGTACCTATGTAGAGCTTATTCTAAACTCCGAGTGTTGATTGGTGTCTTGGATGGGAGCTGCTGTGTGTTTTCCTTCCTGAGCTACCCTTCCTCCTCCAGGCACTTCCATGTGGCTGGCTGCAGCTAACACCAGCCATCACTTATACATAGGGTGAGAAGACTCTGGGATTTGGCATCTTTACCACTTGATCTCACTTGCTTCTCTTTCTTCTTGGTGCATGGAATTTAATTCCTCTGTAGGCAAGTCAAGCCTCCTCCTCTTCAGTCTTCAGGCCGTCTGAGACCTTTCTAGCCTTGCAATCTCAGAATTGCAGCATTTTACTATCTCAGAATTCCTCTGGAAGTGCTACTGAACTTGAAAAGCAGTATCTGGAGCTTTGCATTTTTGAGAGTTCATTTGGCTGTTTGCCTGGAATTGAGTCCACCTGCTAATGTTGGCTCAGGTACCTAAGTTATCCACACATCCTGTACTTATCTTTAAGCTGACAATCCTAAAATGAGAGCCACACCCTCACTGTAATGCATGAGATGAGAGCCAAGCCTACAGAGCTTGAAAATTCAAAGTGTAAAAGGCTTATTTAGGGTGTCTCAATAAAGAACACCTACTTATTCCTGCACAAACAGTTGTGGGTAAAGAGATGGAACATCCTTTGGATTGCATATGAGTAGCAAACAATATTTTTATTAAAAAAAGTTATTTTAAGCTAAATGTGACCCTAAGGTACAGTGCCCTCCAAACACACACACACACACACACACACACACACACTTTATTATGTGACATAAAAAGTGCATTATTAACTTAAGCAATAATTAATTATTTGACAATTATAAACAACTAATAACCTCTAAAATGTTTGCTAAAATTGCAACATCTAAAATGTATGCCAATAACTAGCTTTTATATGGTTAACATTAGAAAAGCTTATGCTGAAGGAACTGTGCTTTCTGAAGTAATTCGATTAACAAAAATTGTTGTTCTCTTGTACAAGATTCTTGCACAACCTGGGAGAAGATTCTGCTGAGAAGGGAGAAGTCCCACAATGATCTGGTGAGGAGAGCGGGGCTAACAGCTCAGAAGTTCCAGAGCTTGTGCAAGGCCCCAGGGCCAGTAAATGTGAGTGACAAGATGAGGGCTGAGCTGTCTTGTTTCAGTGTCTGAACCCTTTCCCCTGAATTTCTCAGCCACAAAAGGTTATGATTCTGATTTTGGTCCTGTGTGTAAATCACGCCAGTTCTTCACACCTGTCTGTTCGAGGGTAAGCACATTCCTCTTAGCATGAAAGTGTGATTGAAGCCCAGTTAAAGCCATGAATCATTCCCAAACCTGACAGGACATCACAGTCTAGCTGGGGATCTTTAGAAAAATTGCAGTTCCAAAGCTCCACCCTTACGGTAACACAGACTTGTCACTAAGCGGAATCACAAATCAGAATGAGAACAGAGACCAGTTCCTGTGTTTGGAAGCCAACTGTGGTTTAGCTCGTCCTACTTCTCAGTGACCTCTTCCATTCACGTAGGTTACTACCTCTTATCTGATCACCCTCCATAATCAATACATTGGCTGAAATGATGGGAAAAATATTCCAGCTCTGCAGAGTCATTTTGTGTATTAGAATGTGCTTGGGCAGCAATTGATGCAAGACCCTGGGCTTTGGGTTCAGAGGCAAGTTCTGATCCTGCCTGGGTGCTCTTCTGCAAGGCAATTAACTTCCCACATTAAAAAAATTCTACAAACTCATGCAAATACACTCACCTAGTGTGTTGCCGTGAAGACAAAATATTTCTTATAGCACCTGCTCAATAAATATGAAGGTCTCATGCATCTCCTTCAGAGGGAGAAAAGGCAGAGGAAACCCTCTGCTCTTGAACTACTCCTTTTTTTCTTGAGACAGGGTCTCACTGTGTTTCCCAGGCCAGAATGCAGCGGTGCCATCATGTCTCAACCTCCTGGGTTCAAGCAATCTTCCCACCTCAGCCTCCCTAGTATCTGGAACTAGGAGTGTATGCTACTATGCCAGGCTAATTTTTTAGTTTATTTTTGTATAGACAGGATCTCACTATGTTGCACAGGCTAGTCTTGACCTCCTGGCCTTAAGCAATCCTCCCAACTCAGCCTCCCAAAGTGCTGGGATTACAGGTGTAAGCCACTGTGCCAAGCCTTGAACTACTCTTATATTCATGTCAAAAACCCTACCTGACCTCTACATTCATAAATCCATCCCGCAAGATATATGCATACACACACACACACACACACACACACATCAGAAGTTGAGGATCATTTATATATTCACATTTTTTTATTCACATAGAGCTATGCATAAAGAGTTTGAACTAGCACTGAAAGCTCTTTTATTTTAAAAATGAGATTAATAAAACTTCCTGATAATTATTGTTTTCTAGTCTTTTGATTCTAGCTCATATAATTCTGCATGACAAATACGTTTTCTTTGTTTTATATGTATACATGGTTTCTGTGCCTTAGTAAAAATGCCAACCAAGTTTATTTTTTTCCTTCTGTGAAGAATTTTTGCAGAGCTATGAAGGAAATATAGAAAATAAAAGATAAGCTATTGCATGGAATAAAATTCATAAAAAAAAACCTTCCCTAGTATTTCTCCAAGTAGCATCAGCTGCATATTTCTGCAGAGTGTCAAGCTGATCTCTTTGATGCTTCAAGAATTCGAGCCACCATTAGGTTTTATTCTGCAGATGTAGGATAGTTTAACTGCTCAAGTAGGTCATAAAACCTACCATCTATAAAACACTTAGCTACACTATACCATACAAAGGATAACATGTTAAAACAAAAGACTTTCTTAAGGAGTTTGATATTGAAAGCATCACAATGCAATTATTCATCCTCAGAGGTCTGTGTTGCAGAATTCATGGTTTAGATTAGAGAATATTAAGGGGCAGTATTCCAAAGTTTAGCAAATTGGGGGAACTTCTGCTAGCATATTGCACCTCATAATAACTGAAACTAATTGCAGAGCTGGCTATTTGCTATTCTATGTAGCAGTTAGACAAAGCTAATTAGTAGCATTGTGCTCAGTAAATATGTTTCAACATACATTAACTGATTATCTGTCAGTGAAATATTGCACAATTAATTTTATAACTGTCAACAGCAGAGATGGTGAGCATGATTTGGAGCAAGAACCTACCAGGAGATGTTTCTCAGCCTTGGTACTGTTGACATTTGTGACTGGAGGATGCTCTGTGGGGTTGTCCTGTGCATTGCAGGCTGTTTTGCAACATCCCTAGCCTCTACCTTCTGAATGCCAGTAACTCCCCCATTCTCTGTCCCACCCATGTTGCAACAGCTCAGAATGTCTCTGGACATTGCCACATGTCCACTGAGGAACAAAAGTGCCCTCATTAGAGTCACTGTAATTCTCAAATTGCCGATTTTTACATTCGTATTTTAAAGCACCCCAAGTAATTAGAATTTGCAGCCTAGTTTGACAACCAGTGGGCTATTTTTTTGCAACTTAAAGTCAGACCCATCAACCCAGAACATCAGCACCATCTGAGAGCTTGTCAGAAATGCAGACCCAGAGTCTGCATTTTACCAAGACCCCCAGGGGATTTCTCTGTACATGGAGTTTTAGAAGCCATGCTCTGACTCGTACAGCCTCCTCTTCTCAGAGAAGTCTCCACAATTCCCTGGTCCTCTTGAGCAGACAGTCCAAGCAAGCAGATACAATGGTTGCACCTTGTTATCCTCACAGCCTCACAGCAGACTGGACTGGGGAAGATGCCTGACATGGTGGATGCAGTGGGTGGACTCATCATCTATCAGTTACCAGGTCAGAACTAATTAGGTTCTCTCTAAAGGGTTTATGTTACTGACAAGGGCTCCAAGAGATTGTGTTGTTTCTTCTTGGAAGACAACAAGATTGTGTTGGTTCTTGTTGGAACACAAGAAGCAAATACTTGGGGCATAGCTGAATGACCTAAATGGTAGATATTGACAGAGGAACCTCTCCTGCTCAGGTCTTGGCTGTCTCTGCTGTCATCTTTCTTCCTTTCCTTGTTTCCTCTCCCTGGTTCAGAGATTTTCCTTTGCCTCCAGGTTGCCCTTGGTGCCTAGCTGTAGGCATGCAGTGCATCAGCTACTCTTGGGTTGGCCTGAGAGAACAACTTTCCTGGCAACTAATTATACCCGTGACAAAAATGTAAATGTGTTTTATTTTAATAAAGTTGAAGGATAGGGATGTAAAATAATGGTACTATACTATGTCATTAAGTTTATAATGCAAATTCTATAATCGCACATTGTCTATTAGTTGAACTCTTATAAAGAGTCATTAGATGTTTAAAAAGGCATAAAAATAAATACCTACTTTACTGTCTAATATTGTTTTTAAATATACATATTGGGAAATAATCCAAAAGAAAGTAAAGTAGAATTAAAAACAACTTGAGTATTGGAAAGTAAATGAGTAAAAAACTTATATTTGGTCAACTGATAGAAATATTATACAGCCATTAAAATGATAATCCCTAAAATAGTATAACAACATTGAAAATGTTTGTGTCAATTCAGCGACAAAGGCAAAAACAAAATTTTACCCATGGCAGGCAAGATTGCAGCTGTAAAACGTGTGGATGCATAAGGAGAAGATTGGAATGAAACACGAAGAGCAAAATTTTTTGATTTAACATGAGATGGTGCACATTTTTAGATTTTTGCTTTCATAAAGTTAGATGATTGGTAAAGATGTGCATGTGTTTCTATCCCCTCTATGTAGGTTGAAAAATCCAGGAGACCGTAGATACACTTTAATGCTAAATGAGTATGAGATTGCACAATTTTTAGTTGCTATCTTCTTAACTAATTATTTTTCATTCCACCATAACAAAAAGATGTTTTCAGGTATACCTAAGTGCAAGAATGGTAATTACTTTGTCTGTAAAATTGGAAGTGTACTTGTCTATAATATCTTAAGCTTTTATTTATTTATTTTAATTAAGAAAAGGGCAGATATGAAGAGCTTGGCTGGGGCTGCATTCAGAACCTTGCTGCAGTTATTGTGAACTGTTGTGAACCCCTTACATGAACTCTATAAGCCTTGCTTTTTTGCCCATAAAATGGGGATGGCTACAATAGAACTGGCACCAATGTATTTATTAAAATTAAAGGGGCCATTTAAATAAAAAGCACAGTGTAGTGCCTGGCAAATTATTGCTATGGAAAGCATAGTAATTGTCTTTGTTGTTTCTATCTCATGTCAAACAGTAGATCTGTGTGTGAGGCAGATAATTATATGGTCAATGACTTACATTTTACTGTAATTTCAGTCTTAATATTTTATTATAATCTATAATCATTCTTATTTGACAATCATTTATTTTTATTAAGCATCAATGCATTCCTAACATACTTCAGATGATTTAATGGAAATTATGGACAACTGTTCATTTATACTTAAATTAGTGTCTACAAGGCATGCGGACAAAACTATTTGTTAAGAAGGCCTAATTGAAAAATATAACCCATTTGTTATTAATTTTGACTATAATACTTTTTTTCTTTTTTTCCCATTTATTTATTTATTGCATTTTAGGTTTTGGGGTACATGTGAAGAACATGCAAGATTGTTGCATAGGTACACACGTGGCAGTGTGATTTGCTGCCTTCTTTCCCATCACCTACATCTGGCATCTCTCCCCTTGCTATCTCTCCCCAACTCCCCACCCCCCACCGTCCCTCCCCTATTTCCCCCCAACTGACCCCAGTGTGTAGTGCTCCCCTCCCTGTGTCCATGTGTTCTCATTGTTCAACACCCACCTATGAGTGAGAACATGCGGCGTTTGATCTTCTGCTCTTCTGTCAGTTTGCTGAGAATGATGGTTTTCAAGTTCATCCATGTCCCTACGAAGGACACAAACTTTTTTTCTTAATTTTTCTGTTATTACATTTATATGACCTAACCTATTGAAATTACTTAGTGATACCAGCAATTCACATCTTTCATAACATTTGGATGCTATTGTTTTTCCCCTGAAGTGTGCTACTGTCAAGATGAAACCACTACAATAGTATTCAATATCATGGCACATTCTTATCTCTTGTCAGCTAGAATTTTACAATCATTACTCTGGCAGTAACTGCACTATCTCAGTCTAAATCTATTTTGGTTATTCTTAATATATTCTTAATAAAGAGAATAAGATAGTTATGTGTTTTCCTTTAAATAATTAATTTTAAGCAAAGCTTTCACCGAAGAGGATTTCATTAGATAAAAGTGTTAACTCTCCTTACTATTTGAATGCATCCCTGAGCTAATAAATGAAGTCAGCAGGGAAACAATGTTCAGCTAACTGAAATTTTATGTAGCAACACCCACTGTAAGTGCCATCGCATTCATTAATGAAAACATCTTGTGTTACTTGTTGGACAACAGCTCCCATTGAGTCTGTATTGCTTCACTGTGCCTTGAAGTGCAGTGTTATCTACTGTTTGTTTCAGATCATCTTTTCAAGGATGTTTGTATAGCAAACAGCTTTGGAAAGATGGAAAACAGTATCTTCTTCCAGAGCAAAGGGCCAGAATGTCCACCGCTGCATTAGACTAGGTAGTTTATAAAGAAAACAGGTTTAATTAGCTCACAGTTCTGCAGGCTGTACAAGAAGCATGGTGTTGGCCACCTGCTCTGCTTCTGGAGAGGACTCATGAAGTTTATGATCAGCAGAAAGCAGAGGGCATGCAGGCATGTCTTACATGGCCAGAGCAGGAAGAAGAGACAGTGGGGAGGTGCTACACACATTTAAACAACCAGATCTCGTGAGAACTCTATCATAAGAATAGCACTAGGGGGATGGTGCTTAAACATTAGAAATTGCCCCCGTGATCCAATCTCCTCCCTCGAGGCTCCTCCTCTGACATTGGGGATTACATTTCAACATGAGATTTGGGCAAGGACACAGATCCAAACTCTATTTGCCAGTATCCTTAGGCATGGGATCCCTCTTCTGTAACATATCCATTGCATTTGTATGAGTCAATCTCAGCCTATCTGCTTCAGCCCTGTGGGACTTAGATGCAAACAGCTAATGAAAATGTGATGCTTCAGCTTTTTTTTGTGTGTGTGTGCCATGAATAATAATCTGCTCTTTATCTCTGACCCAGGAGTCTCATGTTTACAGCTAGCACCTATTATATTGCGGCAGGCTAACTAGTAAGCTTGCATGTAGAATAAAATCTCAGGCCCTTCACAGTTCTTGATGTGTGTAGTTGTGAGCATCCTTACGAATAAGATGCTTAGATGGCTCTTGTGAGAAAAAATAATCCTTAGAATTAAATGTAAAGTGGTTTCTTGTCAGGATAGTGTTTGTGCTCTTTTTGCAAAGATTTCAAATCTGCTCAATCCACATAGTTTTACACTAGCTGCAATTTTAGTTCTAACCATTGATGATTATTTTTTTTGGGTTCTGTCTTAGTCCATTTTGTGTTGCTATAACAAAGTACCAGAAAATGGGTAATTTATAAAGAGTAGAAATGTATTTTCTCACAGTTCTGGAGGATGGGAAGTCCAAGATCAAGGCACCAGCAAGTTCAGTTGTCTGGTGAGGGCTACATCTTCCAGAGGGGAGGATCTCTTTGTTCTCACATGGCAAAAGTTAGAAGGGCAAGTGAGCTGAATGCTACCTGCAATTTCTTATATAAGGGCCTTAATCCCATTCATGAGGGAGGAGCCCTCAAGGCACCACTACCCTTTAAAAGCCCTACTTCTTAATACTATCACACTGGTAACACCTGAATTTTGGAGGAAACACATTCAAACCATAGCAAATTCCCTGCAAAAAGTTATGTGTGTATGTGTATGGGTGGTAGGTGTGTATGTGTATAAATGCATATGTGTATTTATATACACACATGTATATAATTTTTATATTTTATATTTTATAAAATCTAAGGATCAATTTTATTTTTTTCTGGATACTAATAGAAACATTCTTTATCTTGGCTGCACATTAGCCTGGGAGAGCGGGACTTTTTAACAATCCCATGGCCCCACTAGACCAACTCTATCAAGATCTCTTATTAAATCCCATAAGACCATTTTAAATATGTTGCCAAATTTAAGAACCATTGGCCCAAATTTGCAAAATATGACAGTTTTCCTTCTTGTCATGCCTCTTGAAGTGTAGTGCTTCTTAAACTTTTAGATGTATGCAATTCACTTGGCGATCTTGTAAAAGTTCAGGTTTTCATCTCATGGGTCTGCAATGGGTTCCCAATAATCTGCATTTGTAACAGGCTCCCAGATGAGGCCATGGCTTCTACTTCAAGGTCTAAATTTTGAGTAGCAATGTCATAGTTGTTATTATCATAAAGCAAAACAATACAGAACAAAAGAAAACATAACCCAAGCATCAAGTGTTTCATTTCTGAGATGCAGTACATGCTCTTTTCTTTATCCTTTTGTTTTAGTGACAGGGTCTTGCTCTGTTGCCCAGGCTGGAGTACAGAGGTGCATTAATTGCTCACTGCAGCCTCGACCTCCTGGGCTCAGGAGATCCTCCCACCTCAGCCTCCTGAGTAGCTGGGAACACAGGGCACACCACCATGCCTGGCTAGTATTTTTGGTATTTGCTATAGAGATGCCCAGGTTGATCTCGAATTCCTAGACTGAAGTGACCCTCCCACCTTGGCCTTTGAAAACGCTGCGATTACAAGTGTGAGCCACTGCACCCTGCCAAGGTACATGCTGTTAACACAATCATTTGTTGATAATACTACTGATCTGAAAACTAAGGTGTGGAAAAAAAGGAAATATTTCTGTCAGGAAATCAGCAAACTCTGTCTCTCTATAAAATGCACTGATTTTTACCACTGAAATCAGCATTTGCTACAGAATGAAACCCATGCAATTAGAATTTCTTAAGCAACTGAAGACCCCCTGCCTGGCCTTGGCATTTATGTAGCTGAAAGGGACCATTAATACAGAAAAATGCTTTCTTTCTGTAGCACATTTTTCATTAAGACCACATTGTCACTTAACTCATATTGCTTAAGAATACCATCCTGGAGACAAAAACGTTTCAAAGGAATTGTACCATGACATTCCTACCATGTGGGTCATTACAAATTGCCTTGCTGTGGTTTAAAAGCAGAATAATTGAAACAGAAGAACAAGTACAAGCTCTAGAAGTATCTTCCCAGTAGGGTTCTACCCTACAGGGTACAAGCAATAAAAACACTGAGCAGAGAAATGGAAATAGGCTGTGGCTCAAATCACACACACACGTGCATGCGCACACATACACATGCAGACGCCTCACATTCACACCTGTTTCCCTTTTTGGCTGGAGGTGAAAATTGGAATGCTATTATAAGCTTGTGCAGATGACTATAACTGAGAAATCAGGCACATCACAGGGAGATCATTGCACCTAAAGCCTCATTCCTTTTTTGAAAGCTGGCAGGGCATGTGCAATATAAAATGAAGGCTGAGACAGCATATCTCCAGCAGGCCAAGTAAGGTCATGGGGCACTGAGGAAATATGGGAAATGCTCAGTTGCTCTCAGAAAAAAACAAACTATGATATAAAAAAATACTGGAAAGAGAGATGGAAGCATAGTTGTAGCCTTAGGTATGGGTATGCCAAAGCACAAGGAGTAAATAATAAAATAAACATATGAACACAAAGGCATGTATGTGTCCCCATGTTGAGGTGTGATTCAAGATTGGACTCTAGCAATGGCAGAGGATGTTTTGTTCAAAAACTAGGCAGATCACTGTCACATGTTAGTGTCAGACTATACACTTGGCCAGCATGAAAATTGTATAAATCTATGAACTTGTGATGGAAACCACAATACAATCGATCAGGATTCAAATATTTAGAGAGAAGGACAGTTTGGCCTGATAGTTACATATACCACAGGTCAACATCCATGGAGGATATTTGGAAAATGTTTTCCAAACAGATAATCACAAGACACCTTCACCACAATCATAAACAGTAGAAAGCTATTTCTCATGACTAATGTAGCATAAGACAAATTCTATTTTGATGAAAATTTGATAAAAGACAATGAAAGGAAGTAATATTACCTGAATATATACATATATGTACCAGGGGTATTTGCAGGTGCTACCTCTTAATTTTTACAAAGCCTTATGAAACATCTTCATTTTATAGTTCAAGCAACAGAGACTCTGAGAGCTTAAATAATTTATAAAGTGCGTCCAGCTGGACAAAGCTGGGAAACAACCTCAAGATTGATGATTTTTTTTTTCTTTTATAAAGTATCAAGCAAATTTACTCATATACACCCACTATTTTACTAGACTAAGAGTGGGTTCCTAAACCATGAACATCTAGATCCAATCAACTGATGTTCAAAGGAGAACTATCATTGGAAAAACAAAAGTAAAAGAAAAACAAATGAAAACAGCCATCCTCACTGAGAATCTGCTTCTTTTCCAGAGCTGTGTTTTGTGATGAGAATCTGCCACTAATCCTACGGACCATTGTGAGATTTAGGAATAACTGTTCTGAGTTTGCACATGAGGAAACTGAGGATGGGAGTGGACCAGTTGCCCTGGTCACACAGCTATAAAATGGCCAAGCTCCCTCCCCTCCTGCCACCTAGAGAGGTTGTCCACTGCCCTCCTGCCCAGCCTACTGTTTGAGCTCCATGAAACCATATCTTCCCCTTCACCTCGACCCTTTTCCTCAAGAGAACACATTTCACTCTTAGTAGTCAATCATCCATGGGCCATGCTTCTTTGTCACCTCATTATCCATCCCCATCATTCCTCACCAGCTCTACAGGGGGATTCATATGTGTGTGTTTCCCTATGAGCAGCTACTGCTTTTCTTTTTTCTTTAGGTGTCCTCTCTGATTTTGCAAGAAAGAAAACAATTTAACAAAGCAATTGTTAATTGGTTTGGGACCTTGCACTCATGCATTTATCCCCTGGCAGATTTGGAGACTCAGTTGTAATGAGTGAGATTGCCAGGCTCTGCTTCCTCTTTTTTTTTTACTTTTGTCCAACATCATGATGCCGCTCATAGGTGTTATCAACAAGAAGGTAGATGTGATGCCTGTGGCAGAATGGAGTCTTTAAATCCTTTAGATGCTATCAAGTGGACTGCTTATCTGGCTAGGAGTCACAGAAATCAATGCATCCTCTTCTGCTTAATGGATTCATAGAAGGTCCCTGCTTTTCTATCAGACAGCTTTCTACTTCATTTTTCTTTTTATCAGACTGTATTATCGTGCTGACTCAGAAAGTGGTCTATAATTCTGTTAGCGATCCTTCTGTGTTTCTATACAAAACATCTGTGTCCAGCTGCCCCTGAATTGAGATATTGTGGCTTATAAGAATAGAAGAAGCCCTAGGGCCCTGAACATGGAGCAAATAATCTGCTACCAAGCTTGGTCCTGAATCAAATCCTTTGACCTGAACTAACCTATGATGCAAGCCTATTTGTTGTCATCTGAAGAGTTTCTTCTGCAGGTGTGAGGAACAGCATGGAATATAATTCTACTGTGCCAGTTGGTGCAAATTGCTATGACATGGCTCAGTTATTAAATACAAAAGAGAAGAAAAAAAGGAAGAAAGAAAGAAAGAAAGAAAGAAAGAAGAAAAGAAAGAAAGAAAAAAAGAAAGAAGGGAGGGAAGGAAGGAAGAGGAAGAGAGAATGAGGGGAGAGAATATTAAATTGGTTAGAAAGTTGAGGGTTGTTATTTCATGCAGTGACTCTCTTTGAACTCTCGCTATGTAAAATATGAGTAACAAGTATAATATTTTTGTTTTCAATAATCTCTAGTTCTCTGAAGGCTGGGTTGGCTTCCTGGTGCCATCTTGAAGAAGGATGAAATATAGCTGAAGTCTATGCCAGAGAGTAAATGAAGTGGAAAACATGTACCTTCTGTCCTAGTGCACCTCGAAACAAGAATGGGAAGATATATAGAGAGTGTGGTGATCACAGAGCAGGATCCTCATTTCCCCCAGTTATTTTCGGATGGGGCTACATAAACATTGGAATGGCATGAAGATGCTGTGGACAATTAGTACCGGTCTCTCTCATCTCTGCTGGGGAGGTGATGAGGCTTTCAGAGAAAGGCAAGTGTTGCAAAGGCTCATGACTGCTCGTGCTTTGAGAGGAGTGGGGAGATGTTATCTGAGGGCTTGATGGGTTGGGGGTGTTGGGAATTGTAGCTCACCTGAGCCTTTCTGTGACATGTAGTGGATTGGGGACTTTATGTATATGTGGATGTGGAGACATAGAATTGAAGACTAGGAGGTCAGTGGGGGCTGAGGCATGGAAGGGAAAGTTGCAAAGTTAGAAACTAGTGACAGATGGCTGGGGCTGTGAACTTCAGGGCAGGATGCTGGCACATTCGCCCAGCAGGATAGAATGGAAAGCTCTAACCCAGTCCAGAAACCAGACTCTACAGGTCACTCTATGGCATAGAACAGTGAGGATGCATGGCACCCACAGGATTTTAAGACTCCCTTCTTCCAGGCACCCTAAGGCCATGGTAGATTGCTTACATACATGGATATTATCATGAGGAGTATAGAGCAATAGAAAAATGAACTGAGTATTGACCCAGGAGTCAATTCAAGAGACTAAACAGAAGAAACTGTCACACTCTGAATTGGTGGGTTTAAAGTTTGTGATTATCCCACACTCCTAATGAGGTGAGAAATATTAGCCAGGTGTGGTGGCTACTCGGGAGGCTGAGGCAGGAGAATCACTTGAGCCTACAGGGTCAAGGCTGCAGGGAGCCATGATCATGCCACTGCACTCCAGCCTGGGCAACAGAACAAGACCCTAATACTCAAAAAAAAAAAAAAAAAAAAGAAAGAGAAAGATTAGA